GGCCTCACATCCCCGTAAAACTCTTCACTGCTTTCAGTAACCTACCTCCTACACCATACACCTGCCTACATCGCCACATTTTCCCCCCTATCCACCCTGTTTATACGGGCCTTTTCCAAATCCATAAATGCCACAAAGACCTCTTTAGCCTCATCTAAATACTGTTCACTTATATGGTTTCACTGTAAACACTGGTCCACACACCCCCTACCTTTCCTAAAGCCTCCTTGTTCATCTGCTATCCTATTCTCCGTCTTACTCTTAATTCTTTCAATAATAATCTACAATACACTTTACCAGTATACTCAACAGACTTCTCCCCCTATAATTTTTGCACTCTCTTTTGTCCTCTTTGCCTTTATACAAAGGAACTATGCATGCTCTCTGCCAATCCCTAGGTACCTTACCCTCTTCCATACATTTATTAAATAATTGCACCAACCACTCCAAAACTATATCCCCACCTGCTTTTAACATTTCTATCTTTATCCCATCAATCCTGGCTGCCTTACCCCCTTTCATTTTACCTACTGCCTCATGAACTTCCCCCACACTCACAACTGGCTCTTTCTCACTCCTACAAGATGTTATTCCTCCTTGCCCTATACACGAAATCACAGCTTCCCTATCTTCATCAACATTTAACAATTCCTCAAAATATTCCCTCCATCTTCCCAATACCTCTAACTCTCCATTTAATAACTCTCCTCTTCTATGTTTAACTTACAATTCAAAACTGCAATTATCTCCACCCCTCCTTCAGAGTGCAGACACTTTGCTTCCCATTTCCAGGGCTCAAGTCTGGCTAACCAGTTTCCCTGAATCCCTTCATAAATATTACTTTGCTCACACTTCAACAGCACATCAATTCATAAAAACCACTTGTCTTTACTTGATCCTAATTAATGCGCTTATATAAACTTGCTGGATGTCTAAGCCCCTCACACATAAAACCTTTTTACCCCTATCCTCCAACCTTTCCCAGGATGGCCCCTACCCTGCCTTTCCTCTACTACTGATTTATATGACTTTAAAGTCATCTATTTTCTTCCATCCTCTCTAAATGTCAGAACCACCTCAACAACCTCTCCTCATACCTCTGGATAATACTTTTAGTAATTCCGCACCTCCGTCTAATCTCCAAGCTACAAATTCTGTGCATAATATTCACCCCACATACTGCCTCAGACATGATATCTCCACTGCTATGCAGCCTTCTTGTTGCAACAGTAACAACCCACGATTCACACAATAAGAGTGTTGGTATGACTATACTCCCATACAATCCCTTGTCTCCACAGATGGTTCAATGAATCATTCACTTTTTTCTCCTCATCAATTCTATGATTCAATTGATCTTTCATAGACCCATCTGCTTACAAATCCACTTCTAAATACCTGAACACATTCACTTTCTCAATGCTCTCTCCCTCCAATCCCTCACTGCTAAATTTTATGTTACCCTTATCACCTTGCTTCCAATTCATCCAGCAACCTTTGCAACTTCTCTTCAGAATCTCCCAAAAGCAGTGTTATCAGCAAAAAAGTAACTGTGAAAACTCCCACTCTACGTTAATATATTAACCCCTAAACTGCCCAAATGTAGATCTATGTTTGCGTGCGTAGTGCTCCGACCTTGATTTTCTCCATAAGAAAGCATGTAAAATAACGTAGATTTACGTTCGGAGTGCTACGCAAGCGAATGTATATCTACATTTGGACAGTTTAAGGGTTAAACAACCATGGTGACAACATGCATCCCTGTCTAAGGCGTACTTCTAGTGCGAAATAATCTCCCTCTCCCCTACATACCCTAACCTGAGCCTCAGTAACCTATATAAAAAAAAAAAAATATATAAAGCAGCTGGAACTGATGGGATCATGACAGAAATGTTAAAAGCAGGGGGGGATATAGTGTTGGAGTGGTTGGTACTTTTGTTTAATAAATGTATGAAAGAGGGGAAGGTACCTAGGGATTGGCAGAGAGCATGTATAGTCCCTTTATATAAAGGGAAAGGGGACAAAAGAGACTGTAAAAATTATAGAGGAATAAGCTTACTGAGTATACCAGGAAAAATGTACGGTAGGGTTTTTAATTGAAAGAATTAGAGGTAAGACAGAATGTAGGATTGCGGATGAGCAAGGAGGTTTTAGAGTGGGTAGGGGATGTGTAGATCATGTTTACATTGAAGCATATATGTGAACAGTATTTAGATAAAGATAGGGAAGTTTTTTTTGGGCATTTATGGATTAAAAAAAAGGGCAATAGTAGAATGGATAGAGGGCAATGTTGGTCAGATGTTTGCAAGTAAGGAATTTGGGAAGTTATTAATGCTTAATTTTTAGAGGATTATGGGTTTCAGGTTAGGGTTTTGAAAAGAGAGGAATACTCCGGTAAAAGTAGGTCTTAGCAGGGATGTGTAATGTCACCAGGTTGTTTATATATTTAAAGATGGGGTTGAAAAGGGGAAGAAAGCTAGGTGTTTTGAAAAGGGGTGGGTTTAAAAATATGGGAATCAAATTCAAAATGGGAATTGACACAGTTTATTTTTTGGTTTGATACGGGTGCTTTGGGATTCTAAAGAAAATTGCAAAGGTTAGTGATGGTTTTGGGAATGGTTAAAGGTAAAAGTTGAAAGTGAAATAGAAAAGAGTAAGGTATGAGGGTGTCAAATGATTTAGATAAAAAAATTGGATATCAAAATTGGGGAGGGGAGTATGGAAGAAGTGAATGTTTTCAGATACTTGGGAGTTGACGTGTCGGCGGATGGATTTATGAAGGATGAGGTTAATCATAGAATTGATGAGGGAAAAAAGGTGAGTGGTGCGTTGAGGTATAGGGAGTCAAAAAACTTATCTATGGAGGCAAAGAAGGGAATGTATGAAAGGGATAGTAGTACCAACACTCTTATATGGGTGTGAAGCTTGGGTGGTAAATGCAGCAGCGAGGAGACGGTTGGAGGCAGCCGGAGATGTCCTGTTTAAGGGCAATTTGAGTGTAAATAATTATGCAGAAAATTCGGAGTGTGGAAATAGGAGAAAGGTGTGGAGTTTAATAAAAGTATTAGTCAGAGGGCAGAAGAGGGTTGGTTGAGGTGGTTTGGTCATTTAGAGAGAAGGATCACAGTAGAATGACTATGGAAAGCCGATATAAATCTAAGGGGAAGGCAGGCGGGGTTAGGGATCGTCCTCGAAGGGTTGGAGAGAGGGGGTAAAGGAGGTTTTGTGGGTAAGGGCTTGGACTTCAGCAAGCGTGTCGTGAGCGTGTTAGATAGAGATGAATTGAACGAATGGTACATTGGGACCTGAACGATCTGTTGGAGTGTGAGCAGGGTAATATTTAGTGAAGGGAATCAGGGAAACCGGTTATTTTCATGTAGTCGACTTGAGTCCTGGAAATGGGGAAGTACAATGCCTGCAACTTTAAAGGATGGGTTTGGGATATTGGCCGTTTTGAGGGATAATGTTGTGTATCTTTAATATGTTTTAATGCTTCTAGACTGTTGTATTCTGAGCACCTCTGCAAAAACAGTGATAATGTGCGAGTGTGGTGAAAGTGTTTTGAATGATGATGAAAGTATTTTCTTTTTGGGGGATTTTCTTTCTTTTTTTGGGTCACCCTGCCTCGGTGGAGACGGCCGACTTGTAGAAAAAAAAAAAAAAAAAAAAAAAATATATATATATATATATATGTATATATATATATAAAAAATCTATATATATATAATATATCTATAAAAATAATATTGGCAGTTTGGAGGGATATGTTGTGGTATCCTTATAGTGTATGCTTCTAGACGTTGTATTCTTGAGCACGCTCTGCAAAAACAGTGATAAGTGTGAGTGTGGTTGAAAGTGTTGAATGATGATGAAATTAATTTCTTTTGGGGATTTTTCTTTCTTTTTTGGTCACCCTGCCTCGGTGGGAGACGGCCGACTTTTTGAAATATATATATATATATATATAATAATATATATATATAATAATATATATATATATATATAAATATATATATATATATATATATAAATATATAATATATATATATATATTATATATATAATATTATATTATATATAAATATATTATATTTTATATATATTTTTATTATATATATATATTATATATATATATATTATATATATATATTTTTATATATAAAATATATATTATATATATTTTATATATATATATTATATATAAAATATATTATATATATAATATTATATATTTATATATTATATATATATATATTATATATATATATAATTTTAAAATATATATATTATATATATTATATTATATATAAAATATATTATATAAAATATAAATAACTGCTTTCAGCAACCCAGCACCATGGAGTAGAGGAAAAGAATCTTTCCTCTGTTAACCATAAGTGTCATAAGAGACGACTAAAATGCAGGTATTAAGGGGGTAGTAACCCCTTCTCCTGTAAAAGTTACTAAATGTAAAATAAAAGCTTTAATTTTTCTTTTTAGGTCGCCTTGGCTCGGTGTGAGATGGCCTGTGTTAAAAAAATAAAATATATACACACACATACTTTTGCAGAACAACCATTGTGAAAAAATAGTGAAATTCCAAGTGCTTTTGTGATTTCTCACATTATCAAGGAACTGTAAAAACAAAAGATCAACATTATTATTATAATTATTATAATCATGGGGGAGCACTAAACCCATAGGATTATACAGTGCATGTGGGGGGAAGGGGGTGGATGGAAGGTATTCAGGCTCAATTCAGGGAACCGGAGCACAGATCCAATTCCCAAGATCAACAGCCTCTCACCAGCATCAAGGAACCTCCCTTGAGGAGCAAAAGACCAACAGAAAGGCATATATGGATGAGATTACACTTCGCAGTCAACTTACAACACCTGACCTTCTTATGATGATGATGTAGGTAGTACATATGGATGCACATATGTAAACATGAATATACTGAATATAAACTGCCATCAAATGCACAAAAGAACACTTACATTGTTAAGGCCAGGCATTCCAGGTGGTCCCACTGGCATCCCCCACTGATTGTCTGGGTGTGTACCCCACTGTCCACCTTCCTCCTGCGCCTTGCTGGCATCTCTTGGCTCCGCCTTCTTTATTTCAACCTTCAGCGGTTTGGAAATAAATTAATCAGGTAAAGTATTTGCATTGTAAATATCATGGATTTTGGCTCATAAGAAATTTATGAGGAATGAATTGTACTGTATTGGCTAAGTGATAAAAATATTAAAATGAGAAATAGTGATACAATTCATCCTCATTAAGAGTCTAGAGTGTATAAAATACTAAGATAATAACTTACCGTGGCTGACTTATAACTACAACAAAGTACCTGCTAACTTAAAACACACACTCTTCATAATGCTTCTATGGCAATGGACTCTTACTAAAGGTACCAGTTCTAGGCTTTTAACATTAACAAACTTAAATACATGCACAGAATTTATATAAACTGTACATAACCCATTTCTGGAATAATTTGTGAAATATCAAAATAAATAATTTAGCTCTCGGATGATGGCTGATGTATGTCAAAATTATTGAATGAAAACTACCAATTGGATGCTTTCACAAATTTGTGTCTGGAAGATTTTTGCATGTACCCCTGGAAGTACCTAGCAACCTTTCTGACAACATTACCCACTTAATAGGTGCTCTTAGCAATACAACTCAAATTAAAGGAGTGAAAATTTCAGAAGTGCAAGTGCTGATAATGAGAGCACAAAGAATTAACAAAGCCAATAACACCATATATAACACATTGTTATGCAGTCCAGAAAGGCAGCTGAAGGAACAGTAAAACTAAAAATACTTAAGACTAATACCTGCTTTCCATTTATGTTGACAAAGTGCTCTGCCACCGCTCTATCCACAGCCTCTTCCGTTTCGAAGGACAAAAATCCAAAGCCTAGTGTCGTGACAACCAAACAGAAAAACAGCTTAGCTTAGTGAGGAAAGATTGGACCTACCTATTGTGAACTACCTACTAGGTGAGTGCAAAACACCTATTTCACATCTCAGAGCTATCACACTTGATATTGTACACCAGCAGTTATACAAACTCTTTTCTTTTTTAAAAGGTAGATCATTATGCATGATGTATGTACATGTATGTATGTATGTACATGAATGTATGTATGTATGTAAATATGTATGTACGTAAATATGTATGTATGTACGTATGTATGCATGCATGCACTGTATATCTGTGTGTGGTTATGAACAACTGTAAATTGTGTTCAAGTTGCAGTTCCTGTTATAAATTTTTACCAGAAAGCTAGACTAGTGTCCGCTGTCACTATTAGTTGATTCCACACATTTATATGAAACAAGAAAACCAAATCATGGAACATGTTATGATCTCATGAGTCACGAAACAGGAAGTTCAAGTACCCATTACCACCTCCGATTTCATTTTAAAAACCTAGAGCTTTTTTTTACTGTATCATGATTACAGGCAAATTAACAGCCGACTCCTCTTTCAGTACATTTTTGATTAGAGAAGTATCTTCACCAGGTGCCAGATCAACAAGGCTGTGATGGATGTGTGGGGCAGCGAGCCACCAGCAGCAACAACCTGGTTGACCATACATACACCAGACAAGCCTGGCCCATGATCAGGCTCCAGGAGTAAAAAAAAAACTTAAAACTCATTGAAGATATATCAAAACTATAAAAGTACACTGATATGGCATGGTTGAAGCCTGTGAATTATTACTATTATTATTACATTCATAGAGGGAGCACTAAACCTGTTGGGGTCATACAGCACCTAGGAAAATGGAATGTATTCAGGCTTGATTCAAAAAATTGGAGCATTGGTCAATTCATTACATCAAGAGGCCCTCCCCAGCATTAAGGAACCTCCTTTGAAGGGTGAAGCCTGTAAAGATACTAAATACAATTTATACACCTCACAGCCCTTACCCCATTGTAAGCTGCCAGTCAACCTAACATTAGTCAGCTGTCTCAGTGTGTCTATGGTCAGTGCCACTATAATCCTTTATCAACATTCTAAATACACAGGAATTCAAAAAAGGAAGGGAAGCAAAATGCAGTATGGCAGCTCATGAAAATAAAAAAAAATCAAGAGTAACACTATTTCCCAGCACAAGATGGGAAGAGAATGTGAAACACATTAAGTTTCCACACAATAACTTCTGGAATGAATGGGCTAGTAAAGTTTCCACACAAATCATGGAATGGGTAGGGCTTGAACCCATGGCTAGTGACTCCTAAAAAATCACTGGCCTGTGACTTTTAGAACTCACTTGCCATGGGTTCAAGTCCCACCCACTCTGATTTGTTTGCAATCCTATTGTTGTGATTTTGTGAGAAATGCTGCCACACTGTATGCATAAAAAGAATATACTCAAAAAATGTGATTAATGTTTGTGTATGTGGAAAAATTCACAGACTGCTTTAGTATGATGGTTGTGCAGAGAAGTTGAGAGAATCTGAGGCTTATCAACAAAATAGTAATGTTTTATCAGTTCAGGCAAGACACTTAAAAGTGGACCACTGTATCTGATTTGAACATTTGCATAAATGAAGTCTGAAGCTCATAAAACTGAAAATCTGAGATTAAATAAGGTTTCTTCCAGAAAACTGCAATGTTAGTTGAGGTACATATTTATAAAAAGCATTAAGTCTTGAATGTACTGATTGTTTAGTTGCCACAAGAGTGGCAAGTTATTATATAATATTACTATAAAAAAAAGTGAAGGTTGGTTTTAAAATATTTATCATATCTTTGTTCTTAATGTGTCAGGCAATTTTTGCAATTCTTAGAATGCAAAGATCTCAGGAACAGCACTAGTAGTGTACAACATTTCAATGTACTAGTCTAAAATTAATTTTTTTTATGGCCATAAATATTAAATTTCCAATTGCTATAAACTATAGTGCCTCTGACAATCTGTGACAACCTAAAAAACATAATAGACACAGATGAATAAGCACAACCTAATAATTGCTGGCTACTTAAACATAAACCTTATCCAAGCAGCTGACCATCAAGTAGCCGACTTCACAAACACTAGGAACAACTGCTTTCTACTACCATCTATAATTAAGCCAACAAGAATCTCTGAGACAAGTGCCTCAGTACTTGACCTAGTCCAATACTATATTATCTCTCAAAGCAGGGATAATCACAGATAACACCACAGATCACTACCCTACATGTTCATTATCCAACATGTCTAAACTGTTTAGAGACACTAGTAAGATCTCATTTCGTCTCGATGAGGAGTCATCAGAACACTATTTCAGAATTAAGTGACATTGATTGGCACAGAGTTAGCCGACAGCCAAGATATTGATGGATGCATCACAAGTTTTCTTCAACCCTTTCACTGTCAGTGTCGTATTAGTACAGCTTACAAGCTAGTGTTGGTGCCGTATTAACCCTTTGAGGGTCGGACACGTACAAGTACATCATTGCAGCCAGGGTTGGTCACGTACTTGTACGTCTAAATTCTAGCATCTTCAAATCTGGTGGAAGAAAGCTGGCAGGCCTACATATGAAAGAATGGGTCTGTGTGGTCAGTGTGCGCAGTAGAAAAAAATTCCTGAAGCACGCTGTGCATGAGAAAAGAAAAAAAAAACTTTCTGGTTTAAAACAGCAACTTTCTAGTGTATTTTCATATGGTATTTATGGTTGTATTCTCGTTTCCTTGGTCTAATTTGATAGAATGGAAGATATATTACAGAAACAGAGATGATTTTGATTGGTTTCACAATGCCAAATACCTTGAAATTAAGCTTAAAGTAGCAAAAATGATCAATTTTTGCCGATGTTCAGGAGTAAACAAATCAAGCCACGCATCCAATACATGTCAACTGGTGAGTCTAATATTCTTTCACAGGAGGTCTGATATCATTTATACCATTTTTACATTGATGCAGTAGTATACATAACAGAAAACTTCCTATTTTCTGAGAATAAAAATTCAAAATGGAAAGCAAAAGTAATGTAAGAGGGGCCTAGAGACGTGACTAACGAACAGATAAAATATTTTCGTGCCATGAATGTCTGTCTTGGTTATTCTGGACCCTATTTTGAAATTGACATCTTTGGTAGTTGAAATTGGTAAACTGGCTGACTCTTGTACTTAATCGATAGAACAAATGGTGTTCTAGGGAAATAGCTATAATTTTAGTCAGCTGCAACATTGGAAATGGCTGAAAATAGGCCTCAAAGAGGGCGAAATCGCCCACTTCCAGACCGCTAACTTCATGAGAGCATAATTCAGTAAGTTTTCCATCAAATTTCATACTTTTGGTGTCGTCATGATTAGAAAAAGATTCTCTATCATTTCATAAGATTTTCTTTTTTTTTTTTCAAAAATTTTTCGACCCTGAGAACAAATTTGGGAGAGGGCCTCTCGATCCTCAAAGGGTTAATTAATATGCCAAAATTCTAGCAGCTTCAAATCTAGTGGGAGAAAACTGGTAGACCTATGTGTGAGAGAATGGGTCTGTGTGGTCAGTGTGTGCAGTATAAAAAAGAATCCTGCAGCACACAGTGCATAATGAGAGAAAAAACTCCCACCGTGTTTTTGGTTTAAAACGGCTATTATGAGGTATATTTTCATGTAGTATTTATGGTTGTATTCTTGTTTTCCTGGTCTCAATTGAAAGAATGGAAGATATATAACAGAAATAGAGACAATTTTGATTGGTTTCCCACTGAAAGGTACCTTGAAATTGAGCTCAAAGTAGCGGAAATGTTTGATTTTTGCCGATGTTCAAGAGTAAACAAATGACATCACCATCCAAGTTCAACTGGCCACTTTAATACACAGTCACGAATGGGTTGACATTATTTATACAATTACAATAATGCACTAGTCTGCATAACAGTAAATCTACTATTTCTTGTGTGAATAAAAATTCAAAATGGAAAGCAAGAGTAATGTAAGAGGGGCCTGGAGATGTGACTAATGAACAAAGAAAATTTTATTTCAGTGCCAGGAATGTCTGCATTGTTTATTCTGGCCCCTATATTGAAATTGGCATCTTTTGAAATTTGTTAAATCGGCCAAACTGCCAATTTCTGACCACTTTATTGGGTAGTTGTAATTGGTAAATGGGTGGTTTTTTATACTCAGTTGATAGAACAAATGGAGTTCTAGTGAATTAGCTATGAGTTTGGTCAACTGGAACAATGGAACTGGTCAAAAAGAGGGCTCGAAGTGGGCGAAATTGCCAATGCGCATATGCTGCCGAGACCGCTAACTTCACAAGAGTGTAAATCTGCAAGTTTTCCATCAAATTTTGTACTTTTGGTGTCATTACCATCAGGAAAAGATTCTCTTATCGTTTCATGATAATTTTTTTTTAAATTCTTCGACACTGAGAGGAAGGTTGTGAGCAGGGCTCTTGACAGTGAAAGGGTTAAAAAAAAAAAAAAAAAAACTACAACACTGTTTAATTAAAACTAAACAGACACAAACAACCCACACACAGGAGAGACTGTGTGTATTGTTCAAATCAAGGTAGTGCGCCTTTTTGTATTTAAAACTAAACACGTCACAGTAAAGATACTAAACAACCCCATGGCTTACAAATAACATCCTCAAATCCATTGATAAGTCATCAATATGAAAAACAGTTCAGACTGGGCTTAATATCAAAAGAACAGACCAAATGATATATGTCAATACTTGCTAATCTAATAAGGAAGTCTAAACAATTTAATTATGCAAACAGATTTAGCAAAATAAAAAAAGGATGCAAAAAAGACCTGGAAAACCTTCTTTGAAATCCTGGCCTCTTGAAAACCATCCAGAAACAGATATATAAACTTAACCAGATGAACCTCACATCCAGCCTGTAGACACTGCCAACAAACTTAATGAATTCTTCACTATAGGATCAAAACTAGCAAGCAAAATCCCAACT